TGTGTGTGTCTGTGTGTGTCACAAGGAGTGCAGCTCTGCATGCAAAGGAGGGGGGAAACTATGGTGTGAAGAGTCACCATCACTGCATGGGTGTCTGCGGAGATAAGGATGAGAAGAAGTTGTGCCTGTGGATCTGCATGCCTGACCATGCACACTCTCACCAACAAATGCTGCCACCACGCACTCCTCAATGGGACACAGTTGGTCTTCATCTCACTTTGGCCTTGGCCTTAAATCAGTCATTTCCATAAACATTATGAACCTTCTGCATGATTTTTTCAGTAGCATTATTTCTATTGCGAGAGATTGAATTGTAAAGATTAGAACTTGATTGTGAGTTGTTGGCAGGCGATGGCCTGAGGTGAAGGCTTACCAGCTCCTTGTGTCCCAGATTCATAGATGACCCTTCCCCCTCCTGGCTTTGGATTTGATCAGAACTTTCTGTTACTGCATGACTTGCCCCAGAAAAGATTAACAAGTGTAATGTGTGAGTATCCATGTGTGTTTGCTTTGTTCATGAGTGAAAAATGTAGAAAAGGTTGAAAGAAAAGGGGAAAGAGAGTTTGCACTTTGCCCTTTCCAACCCTCGGCCTGTCTTTGTGTGTCGGCTTCGTTCTCTCTCTTCCTTATCCCTTCATTCTCTTGTTGCCAGTCAAGCTTGTCTTTCTCTCAGTTTGTATTTCATTTGAAAATAACCCATAGCTGTTTTTCTAACTGTAATATTCATTTTTGCCATCACCTCTGTCTGCCTTATTTTATTTCCATTCATAGTCATCTTTTTTGTTCCCAATTTTCTGTCTTATGTATATTGTTTTACCATCAAACAACCTTCAGTAGTTTAGATTTAGATTTTTTTTTTTTTATGTGGTGACTGGTAAAACACAGAATTATAGCCACTGTCCCCATGACCAATAACCAAACACACACTCTTCTCTTGTGGCCTAACTTTACCACACAGGAATAAATCATTTCTTGCTAAGTCTAACCAGAATACCTCCACTTGTCCTTTTAACTGTAACAGACCCAGACAGCATTTAACCAACCTTTACTATGCTGCTCTTTCTGAACGAGGGTGGTGTGCATTTGTATCTGCTCTTCTGACTTTTTCTTTGAAGTGTTCCAATTCGTCGCATTTTAGTCCCTCGCTGTACATTAAATAGGACATTTTTTTAGGGGGGGGTTAAGGCAAGGTTCCCCCCCCGTCTCCATTCTCCTTTTCCATCTCTGTTGTTCTCTAGAGCACCGATTACCGTCTGATTGTTGTAATGATGCTCAGAGCTCCGTTAAGCATCGAGAGCTAGCATCCTCTCTCCCTTTCCTTCCTCTTTCCTCTTTCTCTCATATTCTGAGCTGTAACACTGCTGCTATCAGGTTTTTATTTCAAATGGGGCAAGCAGGGGGGGGGCATTTAGGTTTCTTTTGTTACTAGGATTATTTGTTCCTTTATTTATTATATTTTTTCTGTTTCCCTGACGACTTCTGTGTGTTGTTGTCAGTCTCCACGGTAACCACTCGCTGTTTCTACGGCAACGGTAAGTTGTGTACAAACATCTATCACTGAACTGATCCCCTTCCCACCCCACCTCTGAAATGGGCATTTGATACAGTAGTATGTACAGTGTGCTGTGAAGTTACAATATTTGCATTTCTACCTATCAAAATGAGTTTAATGTGACAGGCCCACGCAGTGCAATGCCCCAGAAAGCTGTTGCTGTTATGTAATGTTACAGTGCACAACACAGTATCACAGGCACACAGACAGACGGTCACAGTATCTTTCAACAGATTGGATCTTTTAACAGTAATATTTCCTCCACATGCCCGTCCCCCACCATGTCATTAACACCTCACTGGGAATGACCGAATGTAATCACCCTCCTCTATGCAATGACACGGCTATCCACAATCCATCTGATTAATTCTCCATTGGACTTGATGTATATAGTATTCATTGTCTTGATTGAATAAAAAACAAAAAAAAAAATCAACTGAAATGATATGAAGCTTTGCTCCCTGTTGCTGCCTCCGATTGCTTTGAGTGAATGCAGACTCCCCGAGCTGCAGGGCAAATAACGCTGCTCTGGTTTTGAATTTCTTTATTTTATTGACCTGCCTGCTTTTAGCATAGTGTACATTTGTCAAATACAAGCCAATTGGACACACTGTGTTTAGGTAAGGAGTTTATCCAGGCTTTTAGTTCATGTTAATTTTGTGCAACGTGTGGTTTGCCAGCAATCCTGGCTCACCGTATTTCAGACCCGGCCTGGCAACGTCTTTATTTTGCAGTACCATTACAAATTAAACCAGATCTATTTCATATGTAAACATTTTCAAAAAATAAATCTGTTTAGAAACTATGCCACTTCAGAACTATCAAATCAGCCAGTGTTATGTAACCATATGCATTTCTGAACCGATATGGGGTTTACCTTACTGTGTTTTGGGTCTCTATTATGCTGCCATTTTGTTTTTTCTCTTTTGGTTTGGTTTTCTTGTAGTGGATTGTCTGTGTACTAGTAATCGTAGTTGTAGTCGTAGTTGTAGTGTACTGGTCTTAGTTTGTGACACACAGTTCTAATGCCTGGCATAGTGTCTCATGTTTATTTTATTTCTCTCCTTTTTTGGGAATGAGGATCTCTCTCTCTCTCTCTC